GTGCAGGCGTCATGAAGATGTGGGAGGCAGAATCCCCACCTCGGAGCTCACAGCATTGTCTTGGTTGGGGGACCATGTGCGTGGCAGATCCCGGTTGTGCTCACTCCCCACCCTGTCATCCACATGGTGCTCTGTCAGGGACGCCAGGCCTACTGCCCTCCAGGGTGGCGCTGCCAGGTGCAGCCAGGGAGCCTCCCTCTAGCCTTGAACAGCATGTGGCCGTGGGAGCTCTGGGTTGGGCCTGGGATGACCTGGAGGTGAGGTAGGCAGAGCTGGTCCAGCCCCCACCCGGCACCGTTTACAGGTTCACAACGCCTCAAGCTTTTTGGCATAGCTGGAGCCACTTCTCCTGGCCCTGCCAAGGACACAAGCCAAGCTTTGGGCGCCACATTGGCAGACACGGGCATCTTTGGCTCCCACGTGCCTGGGCTGCGAGGATGAGCCAAACCTCCCCACCGCGGGGACCTGTTCCTCTGGTTCCTACTTCCCCAGCCCCTGGCGCTTGGCTCTGCACTGGGGCCTTCCGCTGCAGGCCTCTCCCCTGAGTCACACCAGGGCGGGCTGTACTGGGGATGGCAGAAAAGGGCCAGGTGAGAAGAACACCTGGGTGAGGGTGTTGTCGGGACCCAGAGAGAAGGAAGCACAGTTCCCAGGTCTTCCGCCCCAAGACAGCCGGGGCCAGTGGAGGCTGCAGGAGGCAGCTGGGAGGGTGTGCAGGGTGACAGCTGGCATGCGTGTCTCTACGCCAGGTTCTACTTCCAGTGTGAAGGACATGAGCCTACCCTCTTGCTTATCAAGACCACGCAGAAGGAGGTGAGCAGGGACCCGGGAGCCAGGGCTGGCTCTGATGGTCTCCGGAGCCTAGGCCTCCTGGGCTGGAGCCAGAGTTAGAACGTGGGTGTGGCCAGCACATGGGGCTCATCCCACGCTCAGGGTCACAAGGGGAAATAAGACTATCCCCAGCACAGCCCCCGCCCACCCTTATTGCCAGCCCCAAGCCAGGGGCAGGGTGCACGCATGCTGCCTTGCCTACACAACCCCTGCCCTGGGGTGGGGGTGGGAGACGGTGATGCCTGCACCCCTACCTGTGACTTGGTGGGGCTGGAGTAGGCTGGAGCACAGGGACGCTCCTGGGGGCCTGTGGGCACAGCCTCACCCAGACCTTTCCCCCAGGTGTGTGGTGCTTACCTGTCCACAGACTGGAGTGAGAGAAATAAGTTTGGAGGCAAACTGGGCTTCTTTGGGACCGGAGAATGCTTTGTGTTTAGGGTGAGTGGGGCCAAGTGCCCCCCAACCCCCATGCAGACCCTGTAGCTGCATTGCTCTGGGAGTACCCGCCTGCCCTGGGGACACTGTTTGATGTCACCATGGCAGTCACCCAGCAGCGTCATCGCCATGTGTGCTTCGGGTTTGATCTTTCAGCTGCGCGCTGCTCCGAGGCAGGCGGGCTTATCTGCTCGAGCCACCACCTCCCCAGCCCCTGGCTTGGGCTGCACCCACCTTGGTCTCTGGGTGCAGATTCGAGGGATGAAACAGGCGGTGGCTCTGGGGCAGAGGGTCCTGCAAGTGCCTGCACCAGCTCCTCATGCTCCGCTTCCACCCCAGCTGCAGCCTGAGGTGCAGCGCTACGAGTGGGTGGTGATCAAGCACCCTGAGCTGACCAAGCCCCCACCCTTGATGGCTGCCGAGCCCACCGCCCCGCTCAGCCACTCCGCCTCCTCGGACCCCGCCGACCGCCTCTCGCCCTTCCTGGCCGCTCGCCACTTCAACCTGCCCTCCAAGACCGAGTCCATGTTCATGGCGGGGGGCAGCGACTGCCTCATCGTCGGTGAGTGCCAGCAGACGGGGCCCTAGGATGAGGGTGTGGGGGTCCGGGCAGCTGAAGCTGCTGCACCCAGCCCTCCCTGACTGGGGTGGCAGAGAAGAGGCCCTGGGTGTCAGGGTGGACCAGGCACGATGGGTGGGAGGGAGCTGGGAGGGAGCGACCAGCCTGGACAGCTAGTCCTGGGGGCTATGGAGGGTCAAGGGTCTGTGCGGTTTCAGAGAGGCCCGTGCAGGGCAGGACAGCTGGGACAGCAGGTGAGGTGCCTGGGGCAGTGCTGATGGGGCAGTTAGGCCGCAACTGACCTGAGCATCCTGCAGGGGGAGGAGGTGGCCAGGCGCTCTACATTGATGGGGACCTGAACCGGGGCCGCACAAGCCACTGTGACACCTTCAACAACCAGCCCCTCTGCTCCGAGAACTTCCTCATCGCTGCTGTGGAGGCCTGGGGCTTCCAGGACCCTGACACCCAGTGACAGCCTGTGCCACGGTGACTGAGCCGCGGTGGGGTGGTGGGCCAAGGCTGGGCTGCCGCCTCGGGCAGCAGAGAGCAGATGAGACCCCCCATGTGGTGGGCAGGGTTGGGGGACAGCAGGGCCCCGTGGCTGAGCCTGGCGTTGCCTGGACCTGCTGCTGCCTCTACCTGGGGTTTGGGCTGGGCTTCCCCAGTCCACCTGCATCTGGGTCAGAGCCGGAGGGGCTGCAGTGCCCCCAGCCCCACCCAGAGCTGGCATAGGAAGTACCTTCCTCCTCCTTGGAGGCTTCCTTAGCCCAAGGCCTTGGGAGTGTCTGGGTCTTGCTGCCCCTGAGCTTCTCTATGCAGCCTGAGCCCCTGGGGTGGGAGTGGAATGGCAGCGGGAACGTGCAGCTGAGGGTGAGCTTGTGGTGCCCCCTGCTGGTGCCACGTAGCATCGCACCCTCCCGAGCAGGGCCCTGCAGCCTGGCTGACTGGCGACTGAATCCCAGAGTAGATCCTGAGAAGAGACTGGCACCCTTGGGCCTGCCCCCTGGCGGATCCCACCTCCTGTCCTGGGCCTTTGCCCCAGTTTCCTCCCCAGGCCTCCTGGGCCACCTCTCTCAGTAACCCTGCTTGGCCGGCTCTGAGGCTCCCCTGGGCAGCGTTTGGGAGCTGCTGGGTGGGAGGAGGAGGGTGGGATTTGTGCTGGGCTCCACCCCCAGGGAGGGTGGGAGCTGGAGGCAATGTCACATGTCCTTGTGTTTCTGCAGAGCCTGAAGCTTTTGCTGGGCCTCCCTGCGTGTTCCCATCTGAAGAGGTGGCCCCGGGAGAGGCCCTCAGGGACCGACCCAGACCAGCAAGCTCGATTTCCAGGGGTCTGCCCAGAGACGCCTGGACCCAGGGGACTTCTCAGCCCCGCTCCGTTCCAGCCCAGGCCTCCTTGAGTTCTTGTAGCCTCTGCAGCTGCCCATTTCACCTCTTTGTCATTGCAGTGACCTGGGGCCCAAGGTCACGCCCAAGTCCCTCTTTGTGGCATGCTCATCTCAGTTCATCCCCAGCTGCTTCTCTGCACCAGGCCCTGCGCCCTCCCCAGACCCTGGCCACCCAGCACTTCCTTGGCCACCTTGCATGGATGCATGTCCCCCCTCTGTCCTTCTTGTGGTGCTGTGGCTGGCCACGTGTCAGGGTTTTCTCTCATCTTATAGCCTTTGGGCCCCTGGGTCCCTGCCCTGCCTAAGCCCTGCACTGGCCAGACACAGGTAGGTGCCAAGGGAGACCTTGCCTCTGGGCACTGTAGGGGGCAGCCCCCTGCCTTGTGACCTCCCTCCATGCCCTGTGACCTCCTTCAGCTGGTATTGAGGGTCTGGGCACCACGGAGGGGAGAAGGGAGAAGTGGAGGCCAGAGTGGCTATTCTGGGACCATGGAGGCCTGGGTCACAGATACAGGTACCAGCAGTCCTGCCCCTACTTCCATCCCTGCTGGTCTCTAGCCAGTGCCACTTGGAGTCCCCTGCACCGTGCCACTGTCCATCCCCACACCGTTGCCTGCTCCTCCCATGGGGCTTCAGCCTCCCCTGACCATCTGCTCACGTAGCCTCTGACTGGGCCCACAGTGGTGCAGGAGGAAGGACTGGGAACCCTGCGTGGCTTTGGGCAAGCTGACAAACCAGTTTCCCCAACTGTGAAATGGGGCCAGTCCCCATGCCTTGCTGTCCTCCTCACAGGACTGTTGAGAGGCTCGCAGGGGGACAGGGTGAATCCCTCTCTCCAGGAGAGATATGGGAGGGAAGTCGCCACTCATCTCACAGCCCACCACAGTCCTCCAGGCCCCCGCCTGAGTCCCCAAGGCCCTCATCTGTACCGCCAGCTTTGGTGTTCATTAAACATGGTCTTGCTGCATCAACTCCAGGGCTCCAGGCTGACTCTGATCTCTTCAGCCAGGGGCTTCCGGGGGCTTCCTGGGCCTACAGCCAAGCAGGTGTGGGAGGCTGCCCGCTGCAGTGCTCACCCACATTCTGTGACTGGAATACTGCAAGCCTCTTCCAGAGGGAGCCCTCCAGGAGCAGGGAAGTCATATCCGAGGACCATTTGTAGGTTTCCCTCTGCAAACTTCCTGAACTGGGTGGTGACTTTTCTGGCGAGTTAAGTCCAGCAGGTTCTGCGTGGCTGCCCCGGGGGGCCCCACCCTGGCCTTGCAGTGATCTGGACCAGGAAGACGGATTGCTGCTGGCTCATGATTTCCACATCATGAGCGAAGTTCTTTGTTTTTTGTGTGCATGCAAAATGTTTCTTTAAATTTAATCTCTTTTCCTAACTTTTCTAACCTAGAAGGTATGTGTGATTATTATCTTTTTTATTCTTATCACTATACTTGTTATTATCTGATATTAGGCATTCCCAAATAGAACATAATTTATTTTGTTAATGTTCTCTATTTCTTCTTGATTATTTATTAGCTTTGGATGTTAAAAATTAGCCAAAAGTGGCTGCTCTGCCTATGGAGTAGCCATTCTTTGTTAAAAAAAAAAAAAAAAAAAAAAAGCCATGGCCGAGACGGAGGAGCGGAGCCTGGACAACTTCTTTGCCAAGAGGGACAAGAAGAAGAAGAAGGAGCAGAGCAACTGGGCGGCGAGTGCTGCGGGTGCAGCGGGCAGCGCCGGCGGAAGCAGTGGAGCCGCGGGTGCGGCTGGCGGCGGGGCGGGCACGGGGACCCGGCCGGGCGACGGCGGGACCGCCAGCGCAGGGACTGCGGGCCCAGGGGCCGCCACCAAGACTGTGACGAAGGACGAAGATGAGTGGAAAGAATTGGAGCAAAAAGAGGTTGATTACAGCGGCCTCAGGGTTCAGGCAATGCAAATAAGTGAAAAGGAAGAAGATGATAATGAAAAGAAACAAGATCCAGGTGATAACTGGGAAGAAGGTGGAGGTGGTGGTGGAGGTATGGAAAAATCTTCAGGTCCCTGGAATAAAACAGCTCTGGTCCAAGCACCTCCTGCTCCAGTAATCGTTACAGAAACCCCAGAACCGGCAATGACTAGTGGTGTGTATAGGCCTCCTGGGGCCAGGTTAACCACAACAAGGAAAACACCACAAGGACCACCAGAAATCTACAGCGATACACAGTTCCCATCCCTGCAGTCAACTGCCAAGCACGTAGAAAGCCGGAAGGATAAAGAAATGGAGAAGAGCTTTGAAGTAGTAAGACACAAAAATAGAGGTAGGGATGAGGTTTCAAAAAACCAGGCCCTTAAACTTCAGCTAGACAACCAGTATGCTGTGCTTGAAAATCAGAAAAGCAGCCACTCACAATACAATTAAGGAATGGGCTTTGCTAACCCTTCTGAGGTAACTAGACTGCAACTAACCACCACCAACAGTCAGTCATCATCTGATCTCTGCTGGACCTACAGACACCGATGCAGACCACTCAATTTCCTGACCGGCCCTATTGCACTATGGAAGTTAAAGTGTCGCGACTGCTCTATACATATTGGATTTAGGGGAATTTTCATTGTTATATAAATGTGTGAACTAGTTTCAACAGTGTTCTTTCATATTTACTCTGCAAATACAAAAAACCAAACCTGTAGCCAGTGGTCATTTCAAAATCTTTTTATGTTCAGATACTGAGCCTTCATAAGGGTTGACTGCCTCAGATTTGCTGCACTCATTGTGGACTTCATGTGGATCACAACTTCTGGATAAGAAGATTACAACTATTAAGTGTTGATGTGAACCTTGCAACCAGCTCTACTGGATTCTTACCAGAAATCCTGCATAAAAAGTCAGCCATCTGGGTTCTGATCTGCTGTAAAAGATGAAGATTTAAGTGACCTTAATTAACCTGTCCTGTGCCCTACCCTTAAGGAATACTCTATGTAATAGGCTGTGGCTATATTATACTTCCTGGAACACGCCGCTGAAAAGAACTGATGTGTTCAGATCATCTGTGTAGGGCTGTGATTTGTAATTTAAACATTAATTGTATTCTGAGGTAACCACAAAATAAATTCAACCAAACTGGGGTCCACCAAGTAGGGGAAGGGGTAAGGGAGAGAATAATCTTTTTTTTTTTTTTTTGGTAATTTTTTTTTATTCGGATAGTGCTTTTTTGTTTTGTTTTTCTGCATTAAGGCCTTTTTTGCTTTGACTTGAAATAAGTTCTTTGACAGAGCATATTGCTTCGTTAAGTAAGTAACCTAAAGTATGCATTAGGATTGTGAAATGTCTTCGTGAGTATGCCAATCCTGAGGGTGGAACCAAATAGCCTTTGATGTAAAGGGCAGTGGATTCTGGAGGCTCTACTTCAGGTGCTGCTAATGCCTCTTCTAATCAGGTCTAAATTGTGTAGTAAACTGCAGTGGGAAGAAAATGCTTTCTGCTCAGGCTAAGGGGTTCACTGATCTGTCCTTACAAATTCAGAGCAACATGAGCAAAACCTCAGCTAAAATCCATTTAAGTGTCATGGATTGTGCATGATCTTTGATAAGAATTCCTCATGTACTTGTGCCCAGTTTTTCAAGGTATTGGCTGTTCTATCGATGCAGTGATTGTCCCAGCTAGCTCTGTTTTCAACCTTTTGGTGTGTCTTTATGTTCATTTGGAGAGTCAGGGCGAAAGACAGGTGATGTAGCACTTCTGTTTTTAATAATTACAGCTTCAAATACCTATTAATAGTTTGGGGTCCTTTAGAGGGACTTGAGGAAGCCACCCAGGATTGCAGAAGAGTGTCCACCTAACAAGATGGTCTGGCAGTTTCCTAGTTTTGTATCTTTGGTTCAATAGAAATATCTGAAAGTGGTAATGTGACCACTTGATGCAGAGTCCGGGTTTCTCTATAATAAATCCCTTTGCCAAATGCATGAGTTGCAGACTTGCTATTGGCAAGAGTGAAGCAAGTGGGTGAGTAAAACTATTTTGATGTGGGAGCATTTTCAGATAGGAGTTTAGTCTTGATGAAAGTGTCCGTGCAGGAATTGGACTCCAGGGAGGGTTACAGTATCTCCTGACGGGACCTGCCACTCACATCTGGGCAATAATGTTGACATTTGAGGTGGCAGGCAAGATGCCTGCCTTCTAATCTATTTGGGTGAGTAGTTGAGCCAGCCAAGGGGAGGTTGAATGATTAAATCAGAAATGGGATTCTTGGTAAACTGAAGACTATTTGGGAACGAAAAACCTTAAAAAATAGGCTCTTCATCGTTGAACTGTGTATTTTCCCTGCATTTTTTTCCCCACAAAATTTTGTTGGGGGTTGTGTTACTGAAGAATGAACAGAGATGAGTAAGTGGAGGTGTTATGTAAAGGCATACTGTACTCGAAATCTGAAGACCTGCAGCAGATTTAAATTACAACTCTTGTTATAACTTTTTAAAAGATTGTGAAAATATCAAAATGTACATGAATCAAGTTTTAATATACTGTGTGATGGGTGGATGAGGCTGTCCGTTGTACCATTTGTTTGAATTCTCAGGCATGGTTTGGCAGTGCAAGAACTCTGTAACATTAACAAATTCAATAAAAAGTAAATATATGGAAAAAAAAAAAAAGCCAACATTTGATGAAATTGCATAATGAATTCTCATTTGTTTGTAGAAACATTCAAACATTTATTTAGTTTTTTTTTTTTTTTTTTTTTTTTTAATTTGAGACGGGAGTCTCACTCTGTCTCCCGGGCTGGAGTGCAGTGGCGCGATCTCGGCTCACCGCAAGCTCCGCCTCCCAGGCTCCTGCCATTCTCCTGCCTCAGCCTCCCGAGTAGCTGGGACTACAGGCATGCACCACCAAGCCCGGCTAATTTTTTTGTATTTTTAGTAGAGACATGGTTTCACCATGTTAGCCAGGATGGTCTAGAGCTCCTGACCTTGTGATCCGCCCGCCTCAGCCTCCCAAAGTGCAGGAATTACAGGCGTGAGCCACCGCGCCCGGCCCTTTTTTTTTTTTTTTTTTTTTTTTTTTTTGAGATGGAGTCACCCAGGCCTGAGTGCAGTGGCCGGATCTCGGCTCACTGCAACCTCCGCCTCCCAGGTTCAAGCGATTCTCCTGCCTCAGCCTCCTGAGTAGCTGGGATTACAGGCACACGCCACCATGCCCAGCTAAATATTTTTTTGGTATTTTTAGTAGAGGCGGAGTTTCACCATGTTGGTCAGGCTTGTCTTGAACTCCTGACCTTGTGATCCACCCACCTCAACCTCCCAAAGTGCAGGGATTACAGGGGTGAGCCACTGCGCCTAGCCTATTTAAAAATTTTTTTTAATAGACCACTTTGTGCTGAATAAATGTTTAACATTTATTTTCAAAACAACAATTGAACCTAATTTAAAATAGTTTATTAAATGAATTCATTAAAGCAGATTATATGCCTTTGGGGCTTCAGAAAATCAGTTTAAACAAAAGAACTTATGAGAGCAAGTCATTTGTACTTGAATTTTTTCAGAGTTTTAATGAATTAAAGTATTTTCATTTTTTCTATTTTTGTAAGCCACGTACTTCATTTTTTGAGTTTTTCAGTGGAATTTGTTTTAAAAAATTTTGAAGATTTCAGAGGCCTTCATATTTCTCTTATCCACTTTGTGAGTCCATAAAGCCTTTGCAGTATCCTTGAGTAGTTTATATTTAATAATTTAGTTGTGTACCTTTTTATTTTGAAGTAATTTTTGATTTGCAGAAGAGTCGTAGAGATGGTACAGGGTTTCCATGGACCCTCGCCTTCCCCCATGTCAACATCAAAACAAAGAAATTAACATTGTTGTATTGCTGTTAACTAAACCACAGGCCTATTGAGATTGCCCCGTTTTTCCCACTGTCCAGGAATCCATTTAATTTTTACAGTTATTTACTTTCTCACATTTTTACTAAGTCCAGAATATCATCAAACTCATAAAACCACTGGTCAAAAAACCCAAATGGCCACTAATTAGGCAATATAGCACCTGCCTCAAATTTGGGTTCATATGGATTTTTTTTTCTCCCTTTTTGTGGAGAACAGTCTTGCTATGTTGCCCAGGCTAGTCTTGAACCCCTGGGCTCTAGCACTCCTCCCTCCTCCCACCTCTGCCTCCCTAAGTTCTGGGATTACAGGCATGAACCACTGTGCCCAGCTCATCTGGATTTTTGCTGGTTCTCTTTCTCAGCCTAAATGTCTTGTTTGCATGGAGAAATTAATAAATGAAGCAGGAGTGCCAAACAAGCCTCATAGGCTCTTCACCCTACAACATCTATGTTAGGTAGAAAAGTATGTGGATTTTTAAAAATAATCTGGTATAAAGAGTTTTTAAGAATTATCTTCATCATCCTAATATCAGATTGTGCTTGAGAAGTTAGGTACAACGTAATGCGATTCATTGCTAAAAACAAAATGCCTTCCACAGTTGCAGACTCACTCATTTTACCAAACTATGGAATCTGTCAACACCTTTGCTTGGGACCAAGGAAGCAAAGTCATTGAATACCGTGTTCTGTAGACATGTGACCTGTGATAAGGCACAGACAACACGAACTGGCAAAAACATTGGCGTTTGCTCAAAAGCTTATGAGCTAAGGATCAAAGGGAAAAAAAGAGCTGTGTGAATAATTTTACCTCTTAGTTCTTATGAAGGATGGTTATCGGACTGGAAAAATGTTTATTGGACTGATGCTTTGGAGCCTCTCAATGAATGTAATAAAAAAATACTGTGTAGTGAGCACAAATGTATGGATTTGCAGCGCAATCCAACTTTGAAAACGTGAAAATAAGTGATTTAGTGATATGTTTGGTTGGTGTTAATTTGAGTCCTAAATAAAATTGAGAACTGGTAAAAGAAGGTCACTGTGGAATAACTTGCTATGAGAAGGCTTAGAGGGATGGGAAGTCCTGGACGCCTCTTCTCCAGGATGTCGGAAGAGAGAGGGGAGCGCTAGGTTGACAAGATCTCATCTGCGCATTGTGGTCACCAGTGAGCCTCTCCGCTGAGGCAACAGGTACGTGATGCCACATCTGCAGCCATGGCTGGTGAGAACAGCACCATTCCCTGATCTGTCTTGTTTTCTTTTGTTCCTAGTGCCTGTTGTGTGGACAACTGCACTCAGCAGAGTTTTAGGGAGACTTTGAGGATCCACCATGAAGAATCAGCATCAGACGCCTCATCAGGAATCCCTGGCAAGGCCGGTTGTGGTGGCTCACACCTGGAATCCCAAGACTTTAGGAGGCTGAGGTGGGTGGATTTTTCGAGGCCAGGAGTTTGAGACCAGCCTGGGCAGCATAGGGAGACTCCATCTCCACAAACAAATAATAAAGAATGTCTTGTGTAAAACCGAGTATCAAAAAGCAAACTCAACCTTTCTCATTCAGAATTTCAAAATGAGTATTTCCTTTGGAAGTTTGCATATATATATATTTGTTTTGAAATGGAGTCTTGCTCTGTCGCCCAGGCTGGAGTGCAGTGGCGCAATCTTGGCTCACTGCAAGCTCCGCCTCCTGGGTTCACATCATTCTCCTGCCTCAGCCTCCCGAGTAGCTGGGACTACAGGCGCCCACCACCATGCCTGGCTAATTTTTTGTATTTTTAGTAGAGACGGGGTTTCAGCATGGTCTCGATCTCCTGACCTTGTGATCCGCCTGCCTCGGCCTCCCAAAGTGCTGGGATTACAGACGTGAGCCACCGCGCCCGGTCACGTCAATATTAATGAATGTCTTTTCTTTTTTTTTTTTCGTTTGAGATGGAATCTTGCTCTGTCACCCAGTCTGGAATGCAGTGGTGCGATCTTAGCTCACTGCAACTTCCAACTCCCAGGTTTGAGGGATCCTCCTGCTTCAGCCTCCTGAGTAGCTGGGATTACAGGTGCCTGCCACCATGCCCGGCTAATTTTTGTATTTTTAGTAGAGACGGAGTTTCACCATGTTGGCTGGGCTAGTACCTAACTCCTGGTCTCAAGTTAGCTCCTGCCTCAGCCTCCCAAAGTGCTGGGATTATAGGGGGGTGAGCCACCGTGCCCGGCCACATGTCTTTTCTAGTACCTTGTGTTTAATTGTGGATCTGTATAATACAAAGAAAAACAGAATGCCTTTTTTCTTTTGAGCCCCGCACAGATGGCCCCTCCCTGTCCAGTTCCTCCAGTGAGCCCGAGGCTGCCGGGGGTCCTCCCGGCAGCTGCTGCGGAACCTCTGCTTGCCGTCATGTGAGCTGCCTCTGTCCACTCTATCCTCTCCCCCAGACTGGCCATGGTGGTGGCCCCTTCCTGCCAAGCCCTCTTTCTTTGCTTCTCTGAACACCTTCCTGCAATGCCTTCAGGGGACTGTTGGGGCAGCGGCTCGGAGGCCACTCCCGGGTCTGAGAGGCCTCCTGGTCTGCTAGCCTGGCAGGAAGCTTGGACCCCAACACAGCTACAGGTCTCTGGCAGCAGGCTTCTTTCAGTTCCTCTGAACTGAGAGCCTCTGCTTCCCGGCCTTTGCTTGTGCTGTTTGCCACTCCTCATGCCTGGGCCCCAGTGTCCCTCCCAGGATTTCCCTGAGCTCTCTGCCGAGGCTGGGTCCCCATTCTAGCTTCACAGCACCTGAGACAGGGGTTGGCTGGTCTCCCCGCCCCCTGTCCTGAAGACTGTCAGCCTCAAGGGGCAGGAGCGCCCAGCACTGCAGAATGAACTGAAGCCCCTTTGGGTCAGTCTGTGCTGCTGCTGTGTGTCCAGGGTGATCGGAGATTTTCCAGGTGTGCTCCTGGGGCCTGTGGTGGTGGGACACCCCCTTCCCCCGCCCACCACGCTCCCTGCAGTAACTCTTCCACTTACTGTAAGTGCATGGACTGTCTTGTGGTTGACGTTAGGACATACACTCAGGCCAGAATTGGGCAAGACTGTTCCTGAGCGGGGCGTGCAGAGCACTCTGGCCTGGGAGGTGGGGCACCGGGCTGCTTCCTCCTGCAGGCCAGCTCAGGGTGGGGCTGGTGTCTGCCCAGAGCTTGGCCAAGCAGTGCCGCCCCCTCCCTTCCTGCCGCCTCTACCACCAGCCTTCCCTCAGGCTGCTTCCTGGACCTAGTCTGTGGCAGGTGTCCGGGGCACATTCTCCCCTCTAGGTTGCCATGAAACTGTTTCATTGTCCTTTCAAAAAAATTGAAGTGAAATTGACATACTATCCAATCATTTCAGACAGAGGTGGTGGGTGCATGAATGAGAGTGCTGTGCATCCACCACCTCTAGTTCCATGGCATTTCCCCATTCCTAGAGGAAAACCTGCCCCAGCAAGTAGTTGCTCCCCATTCCTCTCTATCTTATGGCTTTGGGTTTCGTTTTCTTTTCTTTTCTTTTCTTTTTTTATTTGAGACGGAGTCTCGCTCTGTCGCCCAAACTGGAGTGCAGTGGCCGGATCTCAGCTCACGGCAAGCTCCGCCTCCCGGGTTTACGCCATTCTCCTGCCTCAGCCTCCCGAGTAGCTGGACTACAGGCGCCCGCCACCTCGCCCGGCTAGTTTTTTGTATTTTTTAGTAGAGACGGGGTTTCACTGTGTTAGCCAGGATGGTCTCGATCTCCTGACCTTGTGATCCACCCGTCTCGGCCTCCCAAAGTGCTGGGATTATAG